TATGGAGATGATATTTGATATTTTTGATATATTGTGATTTGTGATTAAGATGATTAATTATATACGAAGAAATTATTGTACAAATATTTTTCAAAAAATATAAAATTATTTATGATACGTTATAATCATCTGTGCACGGTATTTATTGTATGTTGGTGCGATTACACCGGCAACTCCGTCTTCCGCCCGTCGCAACCTCTTTGATAGTGGATTTTCTGTGGTGTTTTTTTTTACTCTGCTTCTTCAGCTGACTGCTACGGGTTGCTGACGGGTGCCAGACGCTTGCCAGATGTGTCTGTGTGATCGCGCCCGTAAAATCCAGCTGGCATTTGTGAGTATTGTGGGGCAAATTCTGCGTGTGATCGGGGCCACTGTTTCTCAGACACTGAGAGAAACAAATGTAGATTGCTTCACACAAACAAGCCAGATATATCACCATTCTAAACTCCCTATTTTCTGTTTAAAAACATGGCCCTTCGCCTCAGTTTTTCCAAACTCGGTTATTTTCTCCTAGGAATAATGAGACCCAAAATGCAGCATTTCCAAAGGACCTAGCCCCATGCTTATCAGGTGTTGCAAGGGACATAAAGAGGAGAAACTCTCTCTGTGTCTTAACCCATGATCTCCTCATTTCTTTACAGCCACAGGGATTTAAAACCTGAAAACCTATTGCTGGATGAAAAGAATAATATCCGGATAGCAGACTTTGGGATGGCATCGCTACAAGTCGGGGATAGTTTGCTTGAAACAAGCTGTGGGTAAGTGATGTAGAACAGAGCTTCCCAGCCTGTGGGGCACGACCAACAAGTGAGTCACAAAGCCTGCTGAAGTGGGTCACAGGCTCTAATTGGCTTGTGGCAACTGTTCCCTTCCCTTCCTTGCCTAGTGCCCAGCTAAGCTCATGCTGAATCTCTGAGGTGGAGTGTTTTGGCCTGCATTCCCCCCCTTTTTTTCTTTAGCTGCCCCTTCCCTGTTCATTTAAGGTTAATACCACCTAGCTGTTTTAAAAAGCCATTTGTGAATTGCTTGCCTGTTAAGAACATAAGAACATAAGAGAAGTCAATGTTGGATCAGGCCCATGGCCCATCCAGTCCAACACTCTATCATACAGTGGCCAAAAATGCCAGGTGCCATCAGGAGGTCCAGCAGTGGGGCCAGGACACTAGGAGCCCTCCCACTATTGGCCACCTCCAAGCAACAAGAATACAGAGCATCCCTTGCCCCAAAGTCCCTATCTATACCTTGTGGCTAATAGCCACCAATCGACCTCTGCTCCATATGCTTATCCAGTTCCCTCTTGAAGCCGTCCATGCTTGTAGCCACCGCCACCTCCTGTGGGCAGTGAATTCCATGTGTTCATCACTCTTTGGGTGAAGAAGGACTTCCTTTTATCTGTTCTAATTTCATGGAGTACCCACTCCAGTTTCATGGAGTGCTCACGAGTTCTTGGATTGTGAGAAAGGGAGAAAAGTACGTCTTTCTCTACCTGCTCTATGTCGTGTCAGTTCCAACAAATGGCCAAAGGAATGACCAGGAAAGCTGCTGATGCACTACTCCTCCCGGCTTCAGATATTCTGGTTTTTTGTTGTTGGTTTTTTTTGCTACTGTGGAGAAATAGAATGATCTTTCCGTATCTTCCTTTTTTGCTACTGTGGAGGAATAGAATGATCTTTTCGTCTCTTCCTTTTTTGCTACTGTGGAGGAATAGAAGGATCTTTTCGTATCTTCCTCTCATATAAGTCCATATTATTTTTTTTCAATCCAAGAAGGAGTTCGCGGATGTGCTCCCCAAGGCTGTATCTCACAAGCTTGAAATCCAGCTTCATCCCCTCCCCCACACCAAGCTTTCGTAGAGACAGAATGTGGAGACTCTGGACTCTGGTCTAAGGTGATGATCAGAAGAAAACAGAAGGTGCTTAATGTTTAGGAACAGACATGTTTCCCAAAAAGAGTAATGGTCCACTGAAGTAAAATGGAATATGAGGGGGGAGTGGAAATCCTTCAGTTCTGACTCAGTATTGTAAGGGAGAGGAGCTTTGGGTTTGAAATCTGAAGTTTTCAGCTAGATAAAGAGCAACCTGAGTAAACCCCACTTTTCTCATGTTTGGCTTCTCAATCTCTGCTTTAGAGAAGAAGTAAATGGAGTGGGACCTTGGCTCTGCATGCCCAAGTGAGGCCAAATCCCTCCCCCTGTTTCTGCCTATTTTCTCTGAAGTAAAGGACATGGTTATAAAGTCCGCTTTCTTACAAAACAGGGAGTAAGCCCTGTTCAATATAGACACTTCTGAGTGGACGTGCAAAGGGTTGTGCATTCTCACCAGGGTGTGGAAGAGATGCATTCATTCTTGGTGCCATTTTTTAAAAATTAACTTTTAAATAGCCAAAGGGAAAAATAGATCTGGTAGCCTTCAGTATTCAGTAAAATGTATTTGCTGCGTCTATAATTTTAATAGCTCATGAAGCTATAACCTGCCATGAGATATTTGTGTTCTTACGTTCGCATTCAAAAAAACCGTGAATAGCTTATGAAAGTGCAGTAAATATTTTAACAAACTCAACATGAATAGGTGTGTTAAGTAAATTTTTGTTTGGATATTCCATTATATAACGAAGCTCGCACAAAATGTATTGGTCCTCTCTTGGTTGGCTCCTCTGATCAGGATAAGATAGAGAAATTACTTTTAAATCCTGACCATACAGCGATACACCAGATAGCAAAATTCTGTTTTCTGGTTGTAAAAGCTCATCAGTGTTCAGATAGCCATTTGGGTTAGATTCCCTCCCAAATAACTGACTTTTTAATTCTCAGTCTTTTATCTTTTTAAGACTAAATTATGTCCTTTTTACATTGTATTGTTGGTTTTAGATTTTAAAATGCTTGTATAATTTTACATAAATAGATTCACCATCTGGATATTTTAGATATTGAAATCCAGACATTGCAAAATTTTGCTCCTTGGCCGTAAAAGCTCATCAGTGTTCTGGTTGTCACTTGGGATTGGACTTTTTGATTTTAAATCTTATTGCCTTTTTTGTCATTCTATTTTACTCCTTTAAATGTATTCCATTGCAGCGTATTCTTAAGTCTGGTTTTAGTGATCAAAATGACCGCTTAATGTTCCTTAGTAACCTTCTTGTTTTTAAAGTAGTTTTACCATTTGGTTATTGTAAGTTACTTTTATGGTTTTTTATAATTGCTGGCTATGTGCTGTAACAATAAAATTCAATTCATAAGTTACGATTGAAACAATCCTAAAACCGTGATAAAGTGCTAGTGATCGTTGTTATCCATAAACGGTAGCGGCCATCATTCTCAGTTCTCAGCTCGCCGTCAGCTCACAGTATTCGTTTTGGTTGTTCCTGCAGTACTTCTTGTTCTTTAGGCTGTTTATGGCAGTTTCTGGAATCCAGGGCCCTGTCCCATTCAACCATCCAATGTTCTTCATTGGTGGTGGCGGCGGCTCCCAAAAAGCCTGGTGGAAGAGCTCCGTTTCACAGGCCCTGCGGAACTGTAAAAGGTCCTGCAAGGCCCTGATCTCCTCCAGGAGCTCATTCCACCAGGTTGGGGCTGCCACCGAGAAAGCCCTGGTCCTGGTCGTTGACAGCCTAGCCACCTTAAGACCCGGGAGGGCCAGCCGGTTCTGAGCCCTAGAACGCAGGGCTCTCTGGGGGACATATGGGGAAAGGCAGTCCCTCCGGTATGTAGGTCCCTGACCATGTAAGGCTTTAAAGGTAAGAACCAGCACCTTGAAACGAATCCGGTATGCTATCGGCAGCCAGTGCAATGCCTTCAACACAGGCTGTATGTGCTCCCGTCTAGAAAGCCCCGTCAAAAGCCTGGCCACAGCATTTCGCACCAGCGGCAGCTTCTGGATTTGAGACAAGAGCAGGACCATGTAGAGAGCATTACAGTAGTCTAATCTCGAGGTGACCATCACATGGATCACTGTCACCAGGTCATCGCGTTTGAGGAAGGGAACTGAGTGCCTGATCAGCTGAAGGTGGTAAAAGGCTGACTTGGCAGTGGCTGCTACCTGGGCCTCCATAGTTAAGGAGGCATCCAGGAGCACTCCCAAACTCCTAACCTCCGGCGCTGGCACCAATGGCGCCCCATCGAAGGTCAGGAGTGGGATCCCTAACTCCGATCCGCTCCGACCCAGGCACAGGACCTCCGTCTTCATTGAATTCAGTTTCAGTCGACTCAGCCTAAGCCAACCAGCCACTGCTTGTAATGCCCGGTCCAGATCTTGCAGTGTAGAGTCAAACTGGCTGCCCAACAACAGATAGAGCTGGGTGTCATCCACATACTGGTGACACCCCAGCCATGCCTCTGGGCAATCTGGACAAGGGGGCGCATATAGATGTTAAAAAGCATCGGGGACAGTGCTGCCCCTTGAGGCACTCCACAATCTAGTGGGTGCCTCTGGGATACCTGTTCATCACCATTTGTCCCTGACCTTGGAGAAAGCCACTGCAAGGCTAGCCCCTGAATTCCAACATCAGTGAGGTGGTGGATCAGTGGCTGATGTCCAACACTGCCAACATGTCTAACAAGAACAGCACCACTGATCCGCCTCGATCTGGGTGCCTCCGGAGGTCATCCGTGAGGGCGACCAGTGCCGTCTCCGTCCCATGGCCTGGGCGAAAGCCAGACTGGAAGGGATCTAAAATGGAATAAATCAATGGGGTTTCCATACCAAGTAAATCTGAACTTGTGGATCACCATACCCAATAAAGTTTGTAACCAAAGATGTAGAAGACCATGAAGCAGTGAGAGTTTGTCAGTTCTTTTCCTCCTAAGGAAGAGTTTCTGTTCCCCACAACTAGCTTTGCGCTATAGAAATTATGCTGTTTTAGGGCCGAACTGAACATGACAGCTTCCAGGGGTGTGAAACATGGACAGAACACCTGTGTTAAAAAAGACCTGCAGCTCAGCAGGCTAAGGCACTCTGGTCCCCCCCCCCCATGCTTTTTCAAGTGCCCAAATTGCCACCCTCTCAGCTACATGGTACTTGAGAACAAAATAACTGCCATGGGCATCCCATTGTACTCACTGCTTATGCTCCCTTTTATGGGTGCTTTTCAGATGATTAAACGCAGAGTCCTTAACATTGAAACACAAAGGCTATACAGCTTAGCCAACAAATCTTGCTCCCCTCTGAACTTTGAGATTCCCCTCACAGTAGGCCGAATGGTCCCATACCTATCTAATATACAAGCACCACATCGAGACAGTTTCGCATTCTGTTTGCACTGCCAATTCTATGTAGATATACATTTTAGATATTTAAACCCTATTTTAGCCAACATGATGGACCTTCCTGGTGTTTTAAAAGTGCACTGTCTTCTGAATGACTCCGCTGTTGAAATACCAGTGAAGGTAGCCATGTTTTGACAATCAGCCAGGGCCGGCTCACTCACTAGGCAAACTAGGCGATCGCCTAGAGCGGGCTGGCCCTTAGAGGCGCCAAACTGCACCCGGCCCCGTACTCTGGGAGTTTCTTGATTATTTGTGTTTTTCATTCTTCCTAAAATGCATTTATTTTTGGAAAATGGTGGGTGCACGGGGGGGATCCTCGCCTAGGGTGTAAAATAAGCTGGGGCCGGCCCTGCAATCAGCTATAAAGCTACGTCAGGAAAAACTATCAAAATGAGCAACACTTTGTAGCAAATTGTTTTATGTAACATTATGCAATACTATGTAGTTTGCAAAATACTTGGTTTTACATGTATGGTCTTATATGGTTTTATAGGTATA